ATGCATTGCCGTTCCCCTGGCCCCTTTCACTCCCCGCCTCTCGGCTGCTGTACCCCAAAGATCCCTGTCTGCCGCCCTCCTGTGTCCCCACCCTGCTGCCCGTCACTCCCACCCCACTGCAAACCGTCATTCTCACCCCAGTGCCCACCATCACCTTCACCCCATTGCCCACTGTCACTCCCACTCCACTGCCCACTATCACTTTCACGACACTGCCCACCATCGTTTTCACCCCACCACCTACTTCTACCCTCACCCTATTGCTTATTGCTCTCATCCTACTGCCCATTGATTCTCTTCTTAGCTTCCTCCTTCTGCAACCTTCCCCTTCTCAGCTGTTCTTTCCCTCACAGTTCACTCTACTAGGTTTGCCCTAAAGTCCTGAACCTAGCACAGCAAACCCTCCCCAGCATCTTTTCCTTCTTCCAGCTAGTGATCCCCACTTTCCTCTCCATTTCTTACATTGTCATCAGAACTCACCCTCCCTACTGCATTTCTGCTCCTTCCCATGCAAACTGGAGAGGCCAGGCCACCTTCCTGCTTTGCTCCTTCTGCAGCACCGCAGCACTGTGAGCACCAGTGCAGCCCTGGCACTGCCGAAGCCACGGGGCAGCAAGGGACAGTCCCCTCCCAGGGTTTCTTCTGCCTTCTGTACCTGCCTGGCACAGATGGCTGCTAGGAGCCTTCACTGATGCTCTGGTCATTTTCATTGTAGCTGAAATGCTGCACTGAGAGCCAAATCCTTTTTTTTTTTTTTTTTCTCCTCTCTGTCAAAAACAGGCAGTAATTTTTACATGGATTTTAGTTTGGATCTAGGGTTCAGTAGATGTGATTTCAAGCTAGAAGATAGTCCAACTATCCTGATACATGCTTAACCCACACTCTTGTTATGGGGTTTAGCAATAGGATTGGAACGGGTCTCTCGCTGATGAGAACAGAGCCCTTTCTGTTCTCTGTCTTCCTCTGCAACAGTTGTGCAGATGCTGGCGCTCCGGTGGAGGTGGGATTTCAGCCTCTTGCCAGGGGATGCAAACCCTTTTGTTCAAGCACTACAGTGAAACAAAAAAACTTTCTCAGGCAGGCATGAGTCACGGGCTTAAACGTCTCTGGGTGGGCAGGACTCTGAAGGGTCAGTAAAGAAATGACGGTGATTATGGCAAGCTCTTAGCATTTTTCATCCTCAGTGCTTTCCAGCAAAGAACGTGAAATACTTGTAAACAAGTGACTAAGGAAGTGTAATCTCTTCATTTTGAATTTGCTGACAAATAGCCGGGATGGCCAATGACAAGGCACTTGGCTGAAAAGAATGCCAATACGGGGTTTAGCATACATTTTAACTCAGATGATAGCCACTGTGAATGCTCAGGGGATATGCAGTGATGAGTCATGCACTCAGCTGCTTTAACATCTACCTCTGGTGTACATCTGTGTTTTTTTAATACCTAGCAGTTACAAACTGGAGAGAGCAGTTTTAAACATCTGTGTTTGTTTTTCTGCTAGGAGCTTCTTGTCAGTTGTTGTAGCAAATGCCATAGCATTTATTGTGAAGTCTGTTTTATGCTTGCTCAAGAAAACTATAAATATTTTACTAAATTATACACTACAGGTTAAAAACTTGCATATTCTGTTCTCTGCTGATGGAGAAGAGTGCAGATCACAAGCAAGGATTGTCTTGGGGAAGAACTAATTATTCTGAGAAGTAACCTAATTCTGTGGAATGCGAAGCAGCCTGCAGTTCAGATTCCCAGTTCTGCTCTGGTTCACTTGTGCTGGTACTTCAGATGGGGGAAAACCTGTCTGAAAAGCCCCTGGGGAATTCCCTGTGTGCAGTGCAAAAAGCTGGCTGTGTAACAGTGCCCACCTCTTGGGACATCGGATGCCCAGAGACAAGTGAGAGGGGACACACCTGCCATCACACCCTCCTGAAATACAACACTTATTTTCTTAGGGAAATTCTTTTGGAAAAGTTCTTACCTGCATCTAGTTAACTAATCCCACTGTATTTGAACTGGATTTCATGCATATTCTTAGAAATAATCCTTAACACACATTGTTTGCATTACTGATCACATGCAGTAATTCTTAATGCTTCCAAAAGAAGGGTAAGCAAACTGCAAATGCTGGTGTTGGACAGTTTTCCTATATTGCTCTGCCAGTGCAGTTACTTATGGCATATACTTTGATAGCAGTGAGGCATCACTAAACAGAAGCTCCCATTGTGCCAGCTGCCATACAGACAACAAGATGATCAGTGCCTCCAACAATTTACTGCAAAGCACTTGCAGACTTGGTTGGTCCTCGGGTCTGTAAGGGAGATGAAGGTAAATCAGGGATTCACCCGGTTCTTCTTAAGGTTCTTTTGAGGGAGGTTAGCCGTTATTTAGAGCAGCCCACTGCTTTGGTCAATGTGTGTCACATCTGCTTTGCTGTGATTTGTTTGGTTTTTTTTCCTGTATTTAAATGCAACACAGTTAATTTAAATAATGGAACTGAGTTTACAAGGCAGTGCTGCAAAGATTGAGAGTTTATTTCAGGAAATTGGAGACATACTACTGTGGGCATTCTTCAGTTAACTCACTTTTTAGTATACCATTATATTAACTAGAAACATTCTGTTTCTAATACATTCCTTGAAAATAAAATTATCCTTTTTCTTCTTCCTGAGGAAGCTACATGTATTTTCAAACTTACTACCATTGCAGTGTAGTCTTTAGTCCTGGAACAAAAGTAATTCAAAATTAGATAAAGCTTTTAGAAAAAGTTTGGTTCATCTGGTAAAGATCAGTAGGATCATAATGAGAAGAAACACTGTGACTGAATTAAAGTCATCCTAAAGTCATAGGCTGATGTGATTAATACATCTTCTCATTGATTTTCAGAAACAAAATTACTCGGTGGCCATCCATATTTAACAATGGCATGGGAGCGCTGTTCTGAGTTACAAGGGACTTTGTAACCTGTATGTTATGTACAAGGAGGGGAGAAAACAAGAATTGCCTTTTCAGTAATGCTTGTATCGATTTTTGTACCTATCAGATAAAGATGATACAATTAGTTAGGCATTTAACATGCACTGTAGCACACACCCATCATGAACAGGTCGATGCGATGCGAGGAGTGTGCAGCCACACAAATCCCCATTCAGCTCTACGGAGCAGGAAAGCTGCTTCCCTTCACTTAGTGCACAGGAAGAAGGCAGGCTCCCTTCTGAAACAATATCAGCTTGCTCCTCTGACAAAGGCACACACAGACAGGCTGGTTTGGGCACATCCATTAACTACGGCCTTGAGAAGGGAGGGTTCAGAGTCTCCCAAGACAGAGAAGCAGGGAGAAAAGGCAGCAGTGGCAAGCTCAAACAGCAGAAGAAAAACAAAGAGCTTTAGGCAGAAAGATAAGACGTGCATAAAGACAGATGCAGGGCTGGGCTGAAGGGTTCAGTATACCTTCAATCAAAGTCACAGGCAGATCTGCCAGGTTCCTAATACACAACTAGTTCTGCTTCCCACTTCCAGCCAGCATCTCCTCTGAAGGGTCTGCAGTAAGGGCCATCCTTACTTACACCGTTGCCATCTTCCCCATTTTAGAAGGAAGGCTGCTGTTTCAGCATTACTTTTTCACCCTGATCCCACCCTGTCCCTAGCTGAAGGCTTTCACTCTGCTAAAGAAAATACTCTCCTCTCCCTCTCTTCCCATGAAAATGAATTATGGTGCTGCCAGTAACACATTCCCTTCACAATGCTAGTTTTAAGATGTGTAAGTAGCTGAATCAAAATGTTCTGTACATGGGAAGAGGTTACTTCTAGAATAATTTAGGATCGGCATGGAAATAACTGGAGCAATGGAAATTTGAACATCCTTTATGTGTAAGCTGGGTAACATCAAACTTCACTTGTCACCAGCTCTTCATCCTGTCCTGAAGAACTTGGAGGACCTGGAGATCCTGAAGGACCATGAGGTTTATTCTTCTAAGAAAATGACAAGTAATGGAGTTAAAAACTTCAGCTTGCTTTTAGAATCTGATCTTTCAGCATTTACCAAAGAGTATAATGATGTCAGTGGATTCTCTGATTGTGAAAGAACAGAGAGGGCCAGTCTGGTTTTGTCTAAGGTCTGTGCTTGGTACCTTGTTTCTGATAGAGTCTTTGAATTCTCCGGAGTGCTCTACTAGACTGTACTCAATTTGAGGGATTTCCTGAGTGATGCAGTTTGTCTATTTACTAAACCCCATCAGCCTCTTGTTCAGTGCTTGTTCCATCTGCTGTGGAATACAGATAGCCTTTTTGCATTCATAACATCTTTCCCAAGCAGTTCTACAAGCCCACCAGCTGTTGCTTGGAAAGCCCTTTTTTCTGTTTGTTTATTTCTTTCAAATCTGACTCTTAGCTACATTTGGCAACCCTGGGCTTTTGTACTTGAAGCCTTAACTGTGGATATTTATCTGCTCTGTCTGGGGCACTCATGATTTTGTATACCTCTGTCACATCTCCATCAAGTTTTCTCTTTTCCAGTCTGCAGTGTTGTAGCCAAGTCAGAAATCCTTGTTTCCTGGTGTTTATGATCACTGAGATGGTGCTTATGCTGTAGGAGAAAAGTGCCTCGTTTTGAGGGTTTTTCTTTCAGTCATCAGATAAAGTTTGCTGAGGAATACCTTTTTAAAACACATCCACACAGCGACACGTGATACAACATAACTCCACATAAAAATGCTCAGTAGATAATGCGTTGCTTTTTCAGTTTTTTTTTTTTACTTCACTTACTAATTTTACTTCAACTGCTCATACATTTCTATAGCATAAATGTTATACCATGTTATATTTTTCTTTAAAATTGGTTAGGCTGCTTTCCACTGTTCCAAACCAGATCCCATTTTTGTCATGCATTTTTTCTCTAAAATCACCTGAGTTATTTGGATTTACTCATCTATGTTTGCAACTTCTCTACTGCCAAAAAAAAAAAAAACCCAAACCCACCAACAAAAAACAATTAAGAAAACCTGAAACTGATCTTTGTGGTATCTTTATTCAATACTTCACAAAATACAACACCCTTTATTTATGGTCACTTTTCATATCCAGGCTGTTGGAATCAATCTGAGGGTAAGCTCTTGTTGTGTTCACATTCAGACTCTTTGCAGACCTGCTCCATGGACTGTTGCTGGGAATGCAGAAAAGATCTTTCTGAAATATTTGGAAAACAAACCCTCCCTATTACCTAAATAAAACAATTGCAAATGCAGTTTGCTGTGACTAAATGAAGTTATGTTGAGAAATCTAAGCCTTATCTGTGGGCTATCTGTAACGTGACTACTGCTCCTAATTATACTTCAGTGTTCAAACTGTTAGAAAACGCATGAGATGTGATTAATTGAAAATGAGAGGGAGCTCCTTTAATGGCAGGTATTTGTTGTTGTGTAGAGTTAATCCCAATTCAAAATGTTCTGGAGCTGCACTCTCTCCGTAATCATATGATAAAATGGTTCATTCTTGAATATATTATTATTTCAAAAATGACTGTCCATATAGATTTTCTGTCCCATTTCAGTTGGAAAAACGTACACATACACCTTGCTGTATGTTTATGTAACTAATGTTTGCGTCCAGTCCTAGGTAGCCAATCATGTTCTTTAAAATGTCTCTTCCTAAGGTGATTAGAGACCTAAAATCTTTTTTTTTTCTTCTTCTTTTTTTTTTTTTTTCCCTTCTAGAACATATTCAAAATCTTTTCAGAGAAAGGATCTCCTTCCAAAATTAATTCTAGTGAATGGTCTGGAACAGAGTGAGCTGAAAAGTAGAAAACATCACTACTCTTGGGAGTTTCCTGCCAAAAAAAGAGTAAATGCAATTAATAAAGAGCTTTTCAACCTTCACATGAAAGATCTGCTGGAAGCAGAATTTGTTTTGTCCATGCTGTAAAAAGTTTGTGCCCAGCTCAGCCAATTTTGTGTAGTGCTGCTGGGGAATTTCCTTTCTTAGTATGTTACCTGATGACCGCTGCAAGCACAAATAACAGGGATTACCTGTACAGTTCTTGTGGTCAAACAATTTGTCCATAAGGAATACAAAAGGATTCAGGTTTGTGGACATTAGCCTAAATATTTTATTTTGAAATAACCGATTAGAACGAAGATAAATGAATGTTTGTGTGAAACTGGATGAGTCGAAGGTTAAAGCTAACAAGCATTTGACAAAATATATATAAGTACTATTTCGTGAACACGTGCAACAGTTTGCTAACAAAGAGTGTTTTCAGAATACTCAGCATTCAAAATTGGCACCCAAAATGCTGACTTCAAGAATGTTTAGAAAATGACTTTTGCATATAAGAAAAAATGAAAAATGAGCATTTAAGTGTGGAAAAGTTAATAAATTCCAATCAATTTCAAAAACAGCAAAGATATTTCATAAACTTACAGTAGATTTAACAAAACTGCCCAGTGGAAAAGTATCCTGTTTCCAAATGAAGTGAAGATGTATTTTAATTTCCCTCTTCTGTTCCTTGTTTTTTTCTCTGCAGATCAATAACACGATCTTACTATCGCAATTCTGTCGGCGGCTTGCTGGTCTTCGACATCACCAATCGACGATCTTTTGAACATGTGAAAGACTGGCTGGAAGAAGCAAAAATGCACGTGCAGCCCTTTCAGATTGTATTTCTGTTAGTTGGACATAAATGTGACTTAGTGTCACAGCGTGAGGTTACAAGAGAAGAAGCAGAAAAACTGTCATCTGACTGTGGTATGAAATACATAGAAACCTCAGCAAAAGATGCCACAAATGTCGAAGAGTCCTTTACAATTCTGACACGAGACATCTATGAACTTGTAAAAAAAGGAGAAATCACAATACAAGATGGATGGGAAGGTGTTAAGAGTGGCTTTGTTCCAAATGTTGTACATTCATCAGAGGAAGCTGTAAAGCCCAGAAGACAGTGCATCTGCTGAATTTGTAGCATGCCAAAGAGCACATCAGGTGTTCAGAAGATGACGCCAACCTAAAGCCAGAATAATAATTCTGAAACAATATTAGATCATGACATAGCTGAATCACAGAATGGTAACTTGCTTTTGTATCCTTCCATCTAATTCATAACTTCATAGAATTTAAAATTTTTTTCTTTTAGAGAGTACAATTACTGTGTGGTCTTCAGGAAAAGAAATTATATATTGCTAAAGGAAACATTAATCCTATAGCGAGACACATTGAAAGGGCAATAATCATTAAGACAGCATCCTCTCTTGGGCTCTGTCTTTTGAGTACAGTTTAAAAACAAGCCTTGCTAGGTGAGGATGAGACCAGCTTTTTACTTTCATTCATTCTGCCTTAGTTTTGAACAGGAAAATATCACACCTTATACTTTTTTAATGCAATTCTTTACTCAAGTGCAACATTGCTTATCAACATTAAAGTTTAGTGCATTGTAGAATTTCATAAGAACAATAACTAAATAAAGCAAGTTGAAAGAATGTTCCAATAGCATGGATATGACTTTTGATATGACTATGAATACAAGCCTTACTAAAGAAAAAGAATGTTTTAGAAAAGGTGATTTATTTGTATATCGAAAAGGGGAATAGAAGCAATGAAATTTAACAATGAAATTTACTATTGCATATTTTCTGAATTTCCAATGAAACTAAACGTTTCATTGTTCACATGTGATCCAGCTGCTTTTTGAGTCCTGTACAGAACAGGTTACCCAACTACTTGAGTTCCATTTTGCAAGCCAAGTCCTCAGCTGGATGATGATCACAGCCACACCGATACCTAAAGAATTATGTTAATTTACACAAGTAAGTTCCATATTAGCTTTAAAAAATAGAACTACTTCTATCTAGAAGTAAAAATAAATGTTAAAGTGCTGCAACCCGTGGGGTTCCAGGGTCTGAATTTTAGCAGAGTAAGGATTAGTTTGGTCTCAGCCAGTAAATGTAAATAAAAGTTTTAAAGCCAAAATTGTTAGAGTGTTTGAAGAGGAAAGGATTTCTGAGTTAATACTTGGCTACAAACAGAAAGCTGGAGAAGCACTATTCTAAGAGAGCATTACACAGTAGCTTTTAATAACAATAATAATAGGAAAAATCTGTGGTCGTGTAGCATTTTGCTGAGCTTGAGGTCATCTTCCTACTACTTCTCTGAACATAACTTACAGTAGCTTTACACAAACTATGCCCTATATGTGTAGCACTTAAATACCAAATAAGTCTATGTGTTTTTTTTATCTCTAGCGCTATAATAAGATGACTTGATCTCCAGAGTTGATAAGCATCCACAGTTTATCTGGGCATACTCATAACCTCTGAACATTAAGTCAGTTATCTTCATATGAAGATATATCAGGCTACAGTTCTCTGTTTTTGACACCAGAACAAGTTTATCTAATCTTAATTTTTTCTTCAACAAACATAGAATCAGTTTTCCTTCAGATTACTTGAAGTCTTTTAGCAATCCTTTTGTAAATAGTAATGCAAATTGTTTCATTCCAGTTAATTTATTCATTTAGGGCCACTAAAATTATCAACTTCAAAAGGAACTGAAAGGTTAATTTTTCAATAGCCTGAGTCTTACTTGCACTGAGGCCCAGTTATACTGTCATAGAAGGGTACAGAGGCCTTAATATAAACAGGGATCAGCCTTAATTCATGAGCAATTAAAACAGTTAGCTAATTCTAGTCACACCATGGCACACAGCAATTGCTGTGAGTCTGATTCTCTATTAAAGTACACTTTTTAGTCATTTACAGCAGTTCCATTTTCGTTTGAGGGCGGTTCAGGCACTCTTTAAGTAAATGTAAGTGACTACAGATGCCAAAAGCGAGTGAAGAATCAGGTTGTGTGCATTTGATACTGATTACCCTATTGTACCAGACCCATGTTGTATATCTCAAAAGATTTCTTGGCTGCTTAAGCATACAGAACGGACCAGTGAATAAATCAGAGGCTTAGGAGTCAATAGACTCAAAGCCTACTTCTGGGTCACTGTGTGTTTCTGAGCAAGGCGTTTGCATTTTCTGTGCCTCATCTGTATCTCAAAAATTGAGATAATCGTTCTTCCTGGCATTCGCAAGGACCTTTGAGACCCAATCTGACTGTGTGATCTCTGGTCTGGGCTCTTTTCCGTGTGTGATATCTGTTGTAGAGTGTTTAGCACCATGGGATGTGGATACTGTTTTTTTCTGCCATACCAAAAATAATCAGAGATGAAAACAGCTATATAACTACCAGGTATTGCTGTTGTTACAAATCTACATTTCACATTACTTTCAAGTTAAAATCTTTACTTTAAACTTTTCTTCCTGAATACTCTGAGCTTTTCATTCAATGTCAAAAAATATCTGCATATGTGGGGCTGGCAGGGAAGGAACAGGGAGAAGGGGTGAGGGGAGAGGAGGTATGCACAGGGAAATAAACAGTCATCAGAACAGAGCCTTAATGATCTCAGCTGTGAATGTTGTATCTCTAGTATCACATTTATTGCAGTGGGAGTGGAATTTTAACCAGATTCAACTGTGTAAGGTGCTGGCATTGCCAGTGCAACGAGAAAAGAAATTCACTGCTTTTTAAAGTACTGTGCACATAGTGGTCTTATTTGTAATTCCTAAAAATGTGGATTAACATGTACATTCAAATGTTGTCTATCTTGATGATGTATTAAACCAATACTGCACCTTCTCACTACACACTTGCACTTAATGAAAATGTCTGATAAACAGGTTACTTGCTGAAATATGTCCTTTTGCATTCATAGGCTTTGCGATAACTATGTAAGTAACTGCTTGAATACGCTGTAGAAGAGATTATAGTTCAGTGCATTTATTTATTTTTTCCCTTAAGGAAGGAACAATATGATGCTTCCCAATAGTACCAGAATGAAATTTCCAGAAATTAAAGAAATCTCTTTTGGCAACCAAACAAAACAACAACAAAACCCTTTTACAAACTGAAGTTTGGTAAATCTAGCTAGGAAAAGGCAAAGCCTCTTAAAATAGGAATTTGTTTGTGGATTCACAGACCCAGCATATGAATAGATACACTATTTTTATCTTCTCAAATGTTTAGCTTCATTGCTTTAAGTTTGATGAAGAAGTCTTCCTCTGCTCATTTAAATACTTTACACATGAATTCTTCTGATATTTTAGCTTGCTTATAATTCTGTCCTGTGTAGAAAACATAGAATAGCTACACACTTTAAGAGTCAACCCTTTAAAGGTAAGGAAAAACATCTAGAAGTAACTTGCATTCATAGTGTTCATTTATGCCTTCATGATAGAATTTACCTACTGATTCAAGCCTACTGTGTATGATTAAATTCCTGGTGGCTTCCCTTGTGCTCATAGAAAAGAGTAGAGGCTTGATGGAGCAGCCAAGTACACAGAGTTGCTGTGCTGAGACCCCCTGTGCTACAGCCAACCTGCGCGTGGTACCCAAACTGCTTGTCTTAGAGCAAAGATGTGTGGATCCACAATGCTCACAGGCACTTCAGTCCCAGCATTTCAGCTCCCTCACTGTACATGCTTCCTTGCTCTCTCTTTACTTAACTAACATCTGGGGAAGCAATTTTCCCCTAGCTGTAGACCCAAGCAAGCAACATCATTTCCTCCAAGTCTCCAGCCTTGCTTTTCACCCTGGCACAGCCACCTCAGAAGCCTCTCTTCACACTGAAAATAAAGGAGGGCTGAGGTTCTCTGCATGGGGATGGAAGGGGGTGGACTGCCAACCACAAATGTGCTGGGCTGTTTAAGAAATAATCGCACATCAAACCACAATTGTCTATAGCTAGTGTTTGCACTGCTCATTTCTCAGAGTCCAAAGACAATCTTTTATATAAGTTATTGGAATTATAACTCTACAAGAGGAATCTGTAAAATATACAACTCTATTATTTCTAATAATATTTTGCAAATTTTAGCTGTATGCAGCACTATTTACAATGCCTGTATTTCATAGAATCATAGAATCACAGAATGGCCTGGGTTGAAAAGGACCTCAATGATCATTGAGTTTCAATCCCCTGCTATGTGCAGGGTCGCCAACCACCAGACCAGGCTGCCCAGAGCCACATCCAGCCTGGCCTTGACTGGCTCCAGGGATGGGGCATCCACAGCCTCCTGTTCCACTGCATCACCACCCTCTGTGTGAAGAACTTCCCCCTAATATCTAACCTAAACCTCTCCTGTCTCAGTTTAAAACCATTCCCCCTTGTCCTATCACTGTCCACCCTCATAAACAGCCGTTCCCCCTCCTGTTTATAAGCTCCCTTCAAGTACTGGAAGGCCACAATGAGGTCTCCCTGGAGCCTTCTCTTCTCCAAGCTAAACAAGCCCAGTTCCCTCAACCTTTCCTCACAGGAGAGGAGCTCCAGCCCTCTGATCACCTTGGTGGCCCTCCTCTGGACCCGTTCCAAAAGCTCTACATTTCTTAAGATTAATAATAATATCATTGAATGGAATTAAAACTGGAAGGACTTGATTAAAAAAAAAAAAAAAAAAATCATCTTTCTGAACTCAGAGAGAAAAATGAATATGGATGCATGTATATTTACATCCCAGCCCATTTCCAGCAGTAATTCAAGGCCTGGGTTTAGTGACAAGTTGCTTGAGGCTTTCATCTGTAAACCATCTCCCCACCTATGATGTCATTTCACTCAGCAGTATTTTCTCCTCTGTGAAGCAAATACGGGTGTGGAAAAGCTGGATTTTACTTCTGAGCATGGCAGAACTGTTTATCATGTTCCAGAGTATGTGCAGATCTTATGAAAGTAATGGGACTGAAGACATGCCAACATAGTGTAACATCAAGACTATGAGGTTGTACAGGTTTCTGGAGACAATCTGCTTTGCACAATACTTAATTGCTGGGAATGCAGCCTATGTGTAAAGAAAACTACATTGATTCTGAGATCTCAAAAATAATTTTCTAAGCAGCAATGTGGAAGAGCTGTCTGTACTCACAGAGCTCCTCTCAGCAACTCTTCTCCTTGGAGCTGTTGCTCCTACAAGCAGCCACTGGAACAGGAAATCCAGCAATCTACTGCTCCCCTGGGACCAGTCAGACACTAGGAGTGGCTGGGTGCCAGTCAGTGAAACACTGCACCCACCTGGCAGACTTCTTCCCATTCCCCTGCAGGTCTTCTTTACAGGAAAGAACACCAGAAGTTGTATTTGGCTCTAAGGTAGGACAGTCAATAGGGCGAGAACAACAACTACGATTTTTAAAGTACTGAGGTAAGTACTTTAGTGAGTACTGCTGCACTTGTAAGGGTTCTCAGTTCTGGTTTTCAATGCCAAGCAAACAGAATCATAGAATCCTCAGAGTTGCAAAGGACTTTTAAAGGCCATCTAGTCCTGCTCCCCTGCAGTGAACAGGGGCGTCTGTAGCTCAACCAGGTGCTCAGAGCCTTGAAAGTGTGTCCAGGGAACAGGCATTCTCCACCACTCTGGGCCACCTGTTCCAGTGCCTCACCACCTTCACCATGGAAGACTTTTTCCTTGTATCCAACCTAAATCTTCACTCTTTAAGTTTGAAACCATTTCCCTTTGTCCTATCACATAGTTCAGCTACTTAGTCACATTTTACATTGATTTCCTATTTGAAAATAATTACTGTTTATTATTCAGGGAAGAAAAAAAAAAAGCCTCCTCCATCCAGATCATTTCTGTCATTTCCCTTATGTCTGGTCAATGTTAAACACAATGAAACTTGCTCGTTACACCAAGGCAGAAGCTCAGAAGCCACAAATCTGTGTTCCAGTTAGTCAGACTACTGAAATAGCAACTCCATTTATTTCTCTAGCCATTTCTCAGTGGAAACAGTGTCTGCTTCCCAGAGAATCTTTAAAACGAAGGACAGACAGAGCTCACTGAGTGCTGAAACAGAGTTCAATATGTAAGCAAGTGTCAGAAAAGCACCATATGAAATAGCAACTTTTCATATTATACCCTCTTATGTACCACCACGCTTCACAAATTCTAACTCCCTGAGTACACTGAGCATAAACAGTAAAGTGTTGGATAGCATCCAATCCAATAAAAGGATAGGAGAGGAAAAAGTAGACCAGCTGTAATTCTCTGCAGCAGTGCTCTGCAGCTCTGTGCCTGGGCGTGGAGCAATGGCCACATTTTGTCTAGTGCACACTGTGTGCTTCTCCCCATCTCTTCCTCGGCAAAGCCCTCCCACAGGTTCTGCAGACAGCTGCTCTGCAGCACTCCACCTGGTCCTCGCTGGGACTCACAACAGAAAGCACAAAGGTTTCCACTGAGTAAGATGTGAAGGAACTGTTGTCTAACAGTGTATCAGAGAATAACAAACATCAGGGACAGTTATTTAATCTAAAGGACAATGTCAGCATAAGAATGAATGGTTCACTGAGAAATGCACAGGACAGGTGATTGTGGTGGTGCTGAGATGATACCAAGCTCTTAAACAATGTTAAGTTATCTCAACTCCCACAAGGCAGGCAATTTTTCCAGAACGCTACTGTAATCAGCTGAAAGGCGACACTGAAAGCCCAAATAGTAAACACCAGAAATAAAAGTGTTTCCTTTGTTGTTAAAGTAAAAACACAGAGGAAATTCCATGTGATGGTACTTCTTTTTTTCAGCTGTGGGTGCAGGTGTCTGTCTGTCCTCACCACTTTAAAAGAGCTGTCTTCAGAGACTGCCATGGCATAGGTCATGCTAAGGATCGTGATTGTCCACTGCAGCAATCAATGACATTTTCCTGCTGAAGGAAAGAATGTAAGATCTATTATCCTTACTGAGTAGACCTAGTTTGAGTGGAGATGAGAATAAAACTGACTAATCACCCATCAAATGCTTATTTCCATTGTAGACTAAGTGAAAATTAGAAGAAAATATGTTTCAGGGAATTAGATGGGAGCATAGCAGTGCGTATTTCTCTCTGATGCAGCTCAGAGTCAGCAGGTTTGCCCCTGGGCTCAATTCACTCCAAGCCATCAAGGATATTATGCAGGTTATTCATTTCACTGATCAGCCAAATCTGAGTGAGCTATCACTAGCAAATCATTCTGAACCCACAAATAGCTCTTGGATTAAATGTCATTCACTCTGTATTTTACAATCCATGCAAAGTATATAAAACTGTAGACCATTGGAGCACCATATACTAATCATAAACTAATATCTTCATTACCCTCAGAATGTAGTAATAGTCCATTTGCAGTAGAATTAAAGCAAATGAGATAGGATTATGTAACACTTTTTACTTTCAAACTGCCCCAAAGTGGCACTAAAATGCCACGATGCAAAACCATGAGGCTCAGAGATGTCTTTATTTCCCAGAAAATAATGTACAGATCTTCAGGGAAAAAAAAAATAATAAAAAAATTTAAAAATCTATCTTTATGTAAGGCATGTGAAATGAAATAATCATTATTTTTAATATCAGTTAGAAGTACTGTTCTCCTCTTGTCTCAGAGCTTCTTAGTTATCATAAAATAATAGAATGGCTGCAGTTGGAGGAGATCAGTCCCCACCCCCCTGCTATGGGCAGGGCTGTCCTGCCCAAGCTCAGGCTGCCCAGATCCCCATCCTACCTGGCACTGAGCCCCTCCAGGGATGGGTATTCACAGACTCTCTGGGCAGCTGCGCCAGTGCTTCGCTGCACTCTGAACAAAGAATTTTTTCCTACCGTCAGTCGCTGATCAAGTTGTGCAAAATCAGTTGTTCAAGTGTTGTTCAAATGTTCTTTATTCCTAGGCTGGCACCACTCACAGCTACTGCATGGGAGCGGAGCGGATCAGGGCAGAGTACAATGCTCAGTACTTGTACTTTCATCACCACTCCTTCCAGGCTGAGCGCATGAACGTTACTGCAGTGCCTGTAGGACTTCTAAGGTTGCCTGCAAGAAACAAGACCACGGAAAGTACTTAACTGCTGTAATGTCATTGTATTTTGTGCAAGTAAGTTTGCATTAAAAGTGCAAACATGGAGAAATCCATCAGGGTGGTGGATGGAAAGGGAAGTGGGAGAGGAATAGCAGGATCCTGCCCATGCCCCAGCCCCTGTCACACCACTGAGCTTTCTGGTTCCATCTAGACACCCTGCTAAGGCTTAAAGATCATATCATAGCTTATCATAGAATGGCCTGGATTGAAAAGGACCACAATGATCATCTAGTTTCAATCCCCCTGCTATGTGCAGGGTCGCCAACCACCAGACCAGGTTGCCCAGAGCCACATCCAGCCTGGCCCTGAATACCTGCAGGGATGGGGTATCCACAGCCTCCTTGGGCAACCTAAGATCTCCTTAAAGAAACAAACATGCTTTAAAAAATAAATAAACAAGGGTAAATAATATGATAAAGGACATGTTGGCCTTGTATATTTTATAACAGACAAGTACCATTATGGAATAAATCACTTTAAAACTTAATGCTATGGAACATCCCAAATTCATTCAGCTCAAACGCTGTCTAAGCAAAATTAGCAGTTATGAAATTCTAGTGATTTGCATCGTGGTTTTGTACTCTAAGCTTTGCATCAAAGAGAACCGAGAGGAAGTTCTCTACGGAGTACTATTTCTGGCAAATTTCTGTGGGCTTATTTTTTTTTTTCCTGGGTAAATGATTTAATTTCTTTTACAAAATAGTTAAAAAACATCACCAAATAGTGGCATTATTACCAAGCATGCACTTAAAAATTAAGAGAAATGATAGAAACTGAAAGGAAAACCAAATCTCACATAATTGGAAACAGTCTCATTTTAAAAAAGCTTGAGGAAAAGAAGATAAACCAGTTCATGGAGTAGTGGCCAGAAATGTCTGCCTCCGTATCACAGCCTACGGAATACCTGCCTGTATCTCAGCTTCTCTGGTTCACAGACATAGGTACCTGTAAAGCAGCACTCATGCTGTGGCTGACGCACACATACAATGCACACATTCTACTGATCTTGCCAGAGACCTCATAATGTCAGCACTGCTGTGGAATATGTACACAAGGGACAGTGTGTAATACACTTCCATCTGTATTATCTCATTGTATACGATACATACAATTGCATAATTGCATGCTTTATATATACAATGAATACTGCATATATACTTTAATGAAAGTTACATTTATTCTACATAACAGCAAAGAACAAAAAATTAAAGACTAATTGAAACATTTTGAAACTGGAAATTTTGTCAAATAAGAAACTTTCCAGTACCTCTGTGTTACTTCTCAGTTAAGAGAAGGCCTTAATTAGGCTATTTATTAATTTAATAAGGCTGCGGGCCTTATTTAGTCAACATTACCTAAATTTTCAGAGAGCACAGATCTGCTGAATGCTTTCTTATAGCTTTTCTATAGAGGTAATGCCTTAGGGTCTCTATGCCTTACAGTACAAATTTATCTTCAAATCATATCCTCCACTGTATGCCCCAGAAAAGGCTCAAAAGCACTATCCTCCCCATTTCCCCATGAGAGGTAGACCTCTTAGAGAACAGAGCTGTAGTTGTTAGAAGGCAGGAGAGAGGCCCAGTGCTTGATGCCTAAGGCTGTATCTAGGGTACTTCTTGCCCTGTGTACTGACCCCAGTGGTGGCTGTGAGCCTCTCATTATGCCACTGCCCTTCCAGATAGACAATTAGAAAGTCATCAGTGTTTCTCCTGGTAGCTGAGGAAAAAAATGATAGAAATGAAGGAATGGAGGAGGGACAAGAGGCCTTATAGAAGGATTTGGGTAGACTGGGGCCATTGGATAATCAGCAACGGCAGAAAGTTCAACAAAGTAAAGTGCTGCGTGCTGCACCCAGGATGGATAACACTGGACACTGGCAGACTGGAGCAGAGTGGCTGGGGAGCAGCTCAGCCAGAAGGGACCTGGGGGTGCTGGTGACAGCAGCTCAGCACAAGCCAGCAGTGTGCCCTGGCAGCTAAGGGGCAAACCACCTTTTGGGGGTCATTAAACATAACATGGCCAGCTGGTCAGAAGAGGTGATTCTTCTGCTGTATGTAGTGTTGGTGTGGCCTCACCCTGAGTACTGTGTGTGATACTGGATTCCACAATATGAAAAGGATGTTAAGGTGCTTGAATGCATCCAGGGGGGTAACACAACAGGTAACAGGGCTGGAGGCATGTTCTGCGAGGAGAGGCTGAGGACATTCAGGTGTCCAGTCTGGAGAAGAGGAGGCCAAGTGGTGATCTCAATGCTCCCTGCAGCCCCCTGAGCTGGGGAAGCAGAGGGAGGTGCAGGGTTCTGCTTCTGAGAGCACAGGGCTGCACCAGGGGAGGTTCAGACAGGGCAATAGGAAAAAAAGACCACTGTGAGAGTGGTCAAACACTAGAACATGCTCAGAATGGTTTGGGTTAGAAGAAACCTTCAAGCCCATCCAGTTCAACCCCCCACCATGGGCTGGTTGTCGCCCAGCAGCTGAGGCTGTCCATGGTCCCATCTAACCTGGCACTGAGCACCTGCAGGGATGAGGCACCCGCAGCTCTCTGGTCAGCCTGTGTCAGTGCCTCACCATACTCTGAGTAAAGAATTTCTTCTGACAGTTAACCTAAATCTCTCCTTTTTTTAGTTTAAAGCCATTCCCTCTTATTCTATTGCTATCCTCCCATGCGAAAAGTCAGTCTTCCTCCCACATATGAGCTCCCTTCAAGTACTGAAGAAGAAGGCCGCAATGAGGTCTCCCCGGAGCCTTCTCCAAGCTAAACAAACCCAAATCCCTCAACTTTGCTTCACAGGAGAGGTGCTCCAGCACTCTGCTCATCTCTGTGACTCTCCTCTGGACCCGATCCATCAGGTCCACATCTTTCCTGTACCGAGTCCTCCAAGGCCCAGGAGTAGTATTCCAGATGGGGCCTCACAAGGACAGAGTAGAGAAGGACAGTTCCCCCCCCCTCTCCTGCTGCCAACCCTCTGCTGATACAGCCCAGGATGCTGGTGGCCTTCTGGGCTGTGAGCACACACTGCTGGATCATGTGCAGCTTTTTGTTCACCGGGATCCCCAAGTCCTCCACAGAGCTGCTGTCAATGAGTACTTTCCCCGTCTGTACTCCTAACTGGGATGTCCCCAATCCAGGTGCAGCACTTCGCACTTGGCCTTGTTGATGTCATTGTAGGTCAACTTCTCAAGCATGTCCAGTTCTCTTTCCAACTTCTGCTAGGTGGAGAGGAACAACATCAGCTGCACTTTGGCTCAGCGGGGCTACAACCATCCAAGCACCCGCCTCTGTGCACGGTGGGTGGGTGCTGCTGCACATGGTGTGCTGGTGGCAGGCCTGAGACGACAGGAATCCCAAGGCCAGAGGAAAATTGAAATGCTTTCCTTAAGACACGTTTTGGATGAAGGATACCTTTTTAAACAGAAAACTAAAATGATGCCTTCTATAGCCACACGCTGAAAAACCCCACCCAGAAGGTGCCTAAAACCACGCATATCTTATCGAACAGAAAAACCGTGAAGTTAAAAGCGTTCACGAAGAAAGGCGACCACCCCCACAGAGCGCCTTCAAGTCGGGCTGCGCTCGAGGGGGGGGGCGGAGGCGGCCGCCAGGGGGCGCTGCAGGCGGAGCTCCCGCCCGGGCCTCCCTCCGCGCTCGGCGGCGGGGCCGGCTCGGCGGCGCCGCATCATGTGGGCCGGCCCCTTCCATGGAGCCGGGGCTGCTGCCGAGCGCCTCCTGGGCGGACGCCGCCATGAGGCTCTGAGGGGCGGCTGCGTGCGGAGGAGCCAGCCGGTCGCGCCGCCGAGCGCCCCGAGCACGGTGCCGGTCTCGCCTCCGGGCAGGGGAACCCGGAGCCGCGGCCGCTGCTACTGCCGCCGCCGCGGGTCGGGCCGGGCGGGCGGACGGCCCGCGGCCATGTAAAGCGGCGGCGGTCGGGGCAGAGCCGAGCCGAGTCCAGCCCGGGGAGAGGAGCCGCCGTCGGCGGGGAGGCCCCGCGGGGGGAGATCATGGCGACGTCTAATCTCTTAAAGGTGAGAGCGGGGCCCGCGCGCGGGGTGAGGCGGCCGGGGCCGGGCTCCGGGGCCGCCCCGCACCGGCCGGGCCTGCGGGAGGCGGCACGGGCAGGCCGCGGCGCTGCGCCCCGGGCGAGGGGGCGGCCCGGGCCCGGCCTCGGCTGTACGGCTGCAGGCTCGGCGTGCGGCCCGGCCGGCCGTGGCCTCCCGTGGCCTCCCGCTCGCGTCTCACACAGCCGCGCGGGGACCCCGCTCCGCGCTGCCGGACGGGGTCGGGCCTTTGTTTATTTCGGGGAACCCCATGGTGCGGGAAAAGAGTTGTGAGTTGAACAAAGAGTTGGGGAACGCCTTCGCCGCGAGCAGGTGTCGGCGGTCGGGTTGTCGGCGCGTTCTGGCGTTTTCTTTTTTGCTAACCGCACTTCGCTGCGAAGGAAAAACTCCTCGAGGCCTTTAATCGGCTCTGCTGTGGGCTCAGATGTTCGCAGGCTCCTTCCCGGTGTTTGGTGGCAGATGTCAGTCACCCCGAAGAGAGCCAAGTTTGCGCAGAAGTTGTGGCTGTGACGGGCCGTGGCCCGGCCAGGGGCTGCGCCTCCTGAGTGTGCGGTGTGCGCGGGGACTCGGCCCTGTGTGGCCTCCAGGGCTGTGCCAGCGTGCCCGGAGCCGGCCTGCCCCGCACAGCTGCTCCTGGTGTGCTTTGGGACGCCGGCCTGATCGGGGTATGAGGCCTTCAGAAGGCT